TAAATTAAAGCTCAAAGCTTTCTCTTTAAAATGATGTATAATAATTGTTGGGTTGGATTGGAAAAATATTGACAAAAAACATGTTGAAACAAAACTTACATTTTCGTATAACCTAAGAGTGCGAAAAAAGATGCTAATTTAAAAATTCTTGGAAGCCGTATTTATTGAAATTAAGGAATGAAACTTATTTTAAATTAACGCTCAAAGCTTTCTCTTTAAAATGATGTATAATAATTGTTGGGTGGGATTGGAAAAATATAGAGAAAAAAAATTTTGAAATTATGTTGTTGCATATTTATATTAAACTAAAACTAACACTAAACCTAGAATTAGCCGTCTTAAGAGACGTACGACTAAACCCGAATGTTTCTAATTCTAAGTTTAGTGTTTGTTCTAGTTTTTATGCAATAAAAATATGCAACATGGTGAAAGAAAGAAACACCAAGAATCCGGGGTTAAAGCATAATCATCTTTATCAAAAAATAAGAAAGGAAAATCGGGATCTATCGAGGAAATTAGTAGGATATCAGAAAAACGAGTACTAAACAATTATTAACTGGGAAATAATTAAATATTTAAATTGGGATTAAATAATTTTTCTTTACTTAAAAAAAAAGTTAATTTTACATTCAATACGAATACAAATTTGAATCGATTTATTTAATTTTTTTATAGGTTAACTTGGTCGTTTTCATTCTTGTAAATATCTCTAAAACCTAAGGGTAAATGTTATCGCTACATCGTTTTTAAAATCCGCTTAACATTATAATATGTTATATCATTGGTAACAATAGTAATAAATACTGCTCTTAGAAAATACTTATATAAAAACTACGTCGTAGTCCTTAACAAATTTATTTTAACATGTCGTAAAGTTTAAAGGGGAGACACGAACAAATTCATTTTTGTTCCAAATTCCAAAATAGTCATTGATAACGAATTATATCAAATTTGGTGAATCGTTAAGGCATTACTGGGGAAGACTTTCGATTAAAAACGCTTTAACTTGAGTAAAGTTGATTCATTTTTTAAAATAAATTAATTCACTCTTATTTTTTATTTAAACAAAGTATGTTAAAAAAATTAATGAATCAAGTCAAATTTGTGATATGTATTAAGCATAAATCAACTTTACCAAGAAAAAATAATTAAAAACGCCGACTTTTTCATTTCATTCATTCGCACAAACATACACAGTGGTCGATTTTCTTTAATTAACCTTAAATTCTAATCTTAATTCTTTTTTAAGGTACACAAATTAATAAATGCGGATAAAATAAAAAAAATTAAACGGTTCTCCGATCGGGAATCGGCGAATTCGACGATGAGGGTGTGCTCGATTCTTTTAATTCATCAGCGCGCAGAAGATAAACATCCTCTTCCCTTTCCTCTGCTTTCTTCCTCATCTATTCAAACATTAATTACATTAATTAATCTCAATAAATTAAATTACATTAAATTAAACACACTAAAAAATTGTGTTATTTGTGTTAAGAAGAAAGTGTTTTTGTATCTATTTCTACAATATAGACGTTTAGATACGATAGAAAAGAAGATTATCTACATAAAATATTAGTATAAAACGTTCTTTTTATTTTAATTAATCTAGTTTCATTCAGCTAAATTCTACCAAAAAAGTTTCGATAAAATCATTTTTTAACGCACCGTTTTAACTCATTAAAATATCTCAATTAACACTCAATGATTAAAATTTCGGGTACCTAAGTCCGTAGGACAGCATGAAAAAGAGTTGAAGCTGTAAATCTTTTTCATAAAAAATTAATTTCACTTGGACGATTTTTTTTAATACAAAAAAAAGATTAATTTATTAGAAATGTTAGTAACTTACACCCAAAGAGATGTTAAAGGAGGAACCGGAATGATCACCTGATTGAAAACCGGAACTCATCGGGCAAACTAAATCGCCGTAATCCGCTTCCGATTTACTCTTATTTCTTTTTAACGAAAAATGCGATTTCTTGGTAACCTAAAAAATTAAATCAAAAAGTAACAAAATAAAAGAAATTAATTAAATTTACTTTAACTTTAGATGAGGGAGTGAGCGGGATGTACCCCAAAGTACCTTCAGCTTCCCTTTTACCTTGAATAACATCCTTCCCTAACAATTCTTTAAAATGCGTATTTAAATGGCGCCTTAACAAAGTTTTTCCAGGAGGTATCGATAACAACGTTGCTAATAACTCGGCTGTAAATTTATTTTCAAGAACCATTAAACCACCGTGTACTCCAGAACCTCGTAAATTTGGTGCGTATTCAGCTAAATCTACCGCTTTAAGCCACTCCATAACTCGATGTGTGGTCCATAACGCGATACTTTTCGAATTTGGTTGTTCAGGGTCATCGGGAAGCGATCTCCTTTGTAAACACCCAGCTTCGTAATTATTTTCTCTCAAAACTTGAATACCCCGCTTTAAACTAGCAACGTGAAGAAGTGAAGTTATATGAAGTAAAGCTAAATCATCCATTGTTAATCGATGAAGAACTCGACCATCGATACGGTTGATAAGAAACGATTCTTTGTATTGTGGTAACCCGGTATCATCCAACCATCTTAAAACCCAAGCGGTGTCCAATTTACCAGCTTTATTTAATAAAGAATCGCTTGAACCGTTCGCTTGGTTATCGATTATGGCTAGTTGTAATTTCTTTTTATGAAGGGGATTTTTAATAGCTAATTCTTTCTCGATTTCGTTTATTGAAGCTTCTTGTAATTGTTTGCCCGATTTTATCCAACGTTTCGCGTCCGGTTGATATTGATCTAAACCTAAATCTTGAAGCCAAGTACAAACTTCATCAGCATCCCAATCTTCAAACGGTTTATCTGGCCTATATAAATTATATAAGAAATATTTGAAAAGGAGGGAATTATTTTTGTTTTAGAGTCAAGCTTGCTAAAAGCAATGCGCTAAATTAATAGTAATGGAAAAATTTTAAGTTTACATTCGAAAAGTTATTTATTAAAATATTAACCGAAATTAATATATTCAAGGGTATTAAATTTTGGTGAAGTGGCGCAAAGCGCATGAAAGATGCAAAGATAATAGAATTATCTTAATTATTTTTACCAAATATTTATTCTACGCTAGATATCTTATTGTTAGAGAAGGGCTTAAAGCACAACATCAACATTTGAAATATACTTTTTGCAATTCGCGACGGTAATGAAAGCTATAACAGTACTCAAACGGGTGCTGTAATGAGACTCCTTACAGCATCCGATGCTGTAATGAGATTTTAGTAACATTTTATGGCACCAGTTCAAGTTGGTGATCATTAATTTTTCTAGTTGTCAATGTCACAATGTTTGTCTATGGATGTTTAAACACGTTCTTAGCATCGAATACGAAGTCCACAATGATGAGGACATTGAACTCTGAGCAATTTATCTTATTTTGGGAGGTGTACATGAAACATGTCATGTTCAGGTAAATACATTTTGTGTTTTGACAGTTTCTAATTGTCAATTCAAATTTCTATTTTCAAGTGTTACAGTGTCACCAATTGCTACATACCTATTTCCCTACATTGTCAAAATTTATTTTTATTTAGGGAAAAAAAAGGGTAAAAATGCGAATTACAAAAAATAGCACTCAAGACTTAAAGCACTCATTCATTACAAAAATTGGTGGCTTCGCCACTCGATTTTCAACTTGAATTCGTGCATTTCAAACGTGTCTTACGAAACTTGTTTTTTAATATACTATTATCTACGACTGCTTGGATAAGTCATCATTACCGCACTCATTTGAGGTAATTTGAGTTACGTAATGACGTTCATTACCGCACTGGTTTCATTACGTAACGCATTTTTAGCCTAATCAGAACATACTCAATTTATTGAAACGAGCAACAATACAAAACAAAAAGTGCTATCTGCTTACAGAAAAACAATACTATTTATTATAAACATTAATTGTTATGCTTTTACATTTCAAAACACTTATTCCAGATGAGTAAACATGTTGTTGAAACTGACAATTCAAAATTGTCAACAATCATTTCAAAATATTTTTATAAATGTCAAATAGACTTTTCTAAAGAAATTGATTTTTTAGTAATTTTTAGCAGTCGTAGATAAAATGCTGTATATCACACGTGGGCTAGAGCATAATTACAGTACAGGTAAACGTCGTTTTGCGCCGGTTCGATTTACGCCGATTCACAATTACGCCGGTTGGCGTCGGCGTGGGATTCCCCAGGAGATTCACTCAGGAAACTTTTACAGACTGATTTAAAAATTATTTTTGCCCTACTGTGGTTAAATTTTGTGACCGAAATAACCTTCCAAAGAAAACAATCCTCCTATTAGACAATGACCCAGGACATCAGCAAAATCTTGACACCTTAGACACGGGATTGGATGTCAAGGTAATTTACATGCCCCCTAACACAACCTTCGTTTTATAACACATGGATTAGGGGTAATTTCTACCTTTAAAGCGTATTATTTCCGCATAAAATGATTAATTAAAAGCAATGATTAAGGCGTTAGATAATAATTCCAATGGGAGCGTCAAAGATTATTGGCGATCATACGACATTTTAAAAGGAATAAATAATCTAAAAGTCTGTTTGGGACGAAGTGACAAACAATTATTGTTTAAACGGCGTTTGGCGTAAACTTTTTCCTGAATTTATACAAGGTGCAAGTGTAGAAGTGGTAGAAGTGTATAGTGGTAAGTAACAACTGAAGATGTGACCGAACTGTTAGACGTGCATGACCAACCACTTTCAAATCAAGAATTAGAAAAGTTGATCGAGGCATATGATTGCCTTCAATCAGAAAATCCCGAAGAAGAGGATGAGAAAGAAAATGATCCTAAAAACGGATGATCTAACTCGTATCCTTTAACGATTAACAGGTGAGCTTTCTGAGATAGATGGGGATTACAATCGAACCGCAAATGTTAAAAGAAGTGTCACAGCTGCCGTTCGACCTTATGCAAATGAAATTCGATGCTTTTTTTAAAAAAGTGTGAGACTTTAATTTAGTACCGATGAACTAGTGAGTTAGTATTTATTTCAAAAACTTCATTATTTATATCAAGAGATTATTATTTATTTTGAATATATGTATATAGGATATGTATTCGCGGAACGGAACCCCGGCGTAAAACGACGTTTACCTGTACTCGTGTGATTACACGACTCAGTCTACGACCTCGTCGTGCAATTCTCCACGCTAGTACTGTAATTATGTTTCTAGCCCACTTGTAATATAAATAACTATTATATACCGGGAATTTCATATAATTCGCAATATGGGAATGCAATAACCATAGTTACGAAACTACTATGCACTTGCGCTGTCCCACATAAAATGCAACATAGCTTAATAGTACAGGCATTGGGTAGTTTTGCAAAGGAAAAGTTTTGCTTGGAAAAGGTAACGTCCTTATGATAGCTTTGAGTTTCCGTCTTAAGAGACGCACGGCTCAACCCGAATGTTTGGTTCTAGCTCTCATACCTATGTCACTTTTCGTTCAATAAAACTATACCACAATCTAACGCTAAATAACATATCATTAGAACTAACACAAGACCTAGAATTAGAATGATTCGGATTTAGCCATGAAAGAATGCCGTAAAAGAATCGTAACAACCTATCTCTGTGAGAAATCCTTTTTCACATACGTCGGTACAAAAATGAAGTACAAAAATCGACTTGATGATGAAAATGATATGCGTCTCCAATTAACATCGATTCATCCAGATATTGATAAATTGTGCAGCAATAAACAAGCACAACAAAGCCTTTATCAACTTATAAGTATTTATCTATTACTATGCTTATGACATAATATTTATATTTTATAAGGAATATTTATCTTTTTGTTTGAATAAACACAAGTTAGTTACTCTTGTATAGAGTTTTTACAAAGAAGGCAGAGACGCATCTTGTTCACAATATGTAATATGTAATTAATTATAATATGACACATCAATCCCTAAAATCAAATCTGGGTGTGTTACTGTAAGAAGGGTTCCATAAACAAATTATCCCGAAAAAGGGTTCCGCGCAATGACAAAGGTTGAAGAACACTGCTCTAGAAGTTTGAAACGCATAACATTGGATTGTACAGGATCCTTTACTCAATTAAGTGACTCATTGCAAAGATCAAGAAAAGTCACATTATCGGTGAAACTCTTATCAAACCTTGACTGTTAGAAACCGCTGATATTCTTCTTGAACCAGAAAGTAAACAAAAATTGATGATATGGCCGCAGACATGAAAATTCAGGTAGTAGAGACGTGAAAGAATCAAAGTTTGTCGCAATGCAGTTAGGCAAGACTACGCATGTTGCACATTGTTACCAATTGCTAGTTTTTGTTTGATATAATAACGAAACAATCAAAGACGAAATGCTGTTTTCTACAGAGTTAACGACAACTTGAAAAGCAGTTGATATAATGACAGCTATAATGACAGTATGTTGAAGTCAAAAAACCAACTGTCCTAGCAGTATTGCCTTATCTATCGGATATTCTCGATTCCTTGAATTCACTAAACTTGAAATTACAATCCAACATAATTTAACATCGAGGTGCCATCACGACGTACAGGGTGGGCAAATTTGGGTGTTATTATAGGCTATCTCAGAAACTATAAGAGATACGAAAAAAGTAGGTGCCATGTCCCGGTCTCTTTTTTCGAGACTAATTCAATCCCGCAAACATCAAACCTCTATCTTCTTTTGTTTTTAAGTTATAGCCAAAAAGTCAAATTTTCGTGATTTCAAAAAATGCTCATATTTCGTTTATTTTTCAAATTAGAGGAATGGGGTTGATACGTTCTTAAGACACTTTTTTAAGTGGAATATACTGCCGTTGAAAAGTTTTAAATATACTTGATGATTTTTGAGATATAACACAAAGTTGTGTTTTTTTAAATACAAACTATACTTGATTATGATGTTAAAGAAAAGAGCATATTTTTAGCTTTCCAATGATGTATCGCATGTATGGTGTATTTGCAGAAAATAAGCGTTAATTTTCAATTCGAAAATAGTAAGCGCTAATGTTCAAAATTTTGATTATAGTAGGCGGGTCCGGACAGTAAATACTACCTAGTGGCTATAATATATGGTTTTGCACGAATATGACAGAATAAAGTTGGTTTTGTACCATTATTCAGGATAAGTTGGTTTTGTACCAACGAATAAAAACTTTGAATAGTTAATTTAAATTTCTCAGCATCTTATCCCTGACTTTGTTCACCAATAAAAAATGATTAGCATTTAAAGTTTGTTTATTAAAAATACAAGAAATGTATTAATTAATGAATAATTAAATATGGACAACTTCAGGAACTAAACAGTCATAAACTGTCATCTTCTTCTACTCAACTTACTGGTTGTAAGATTAGAACAGTTCGGTATCAATGAATGAAATCTTCGGTAGTATTTTCCCAGTTTTCCCCAAACATAAGATGTAGAAGTTTTTTGATATCAGCAATCTTTTCTTTTGAAATTGGGTGAGATAGAGGAAAATTAGGAATCATAAACTGGGAGCGGACTTTCCATTGAAACACCGTTTGAATGGGGATATGAAGACTTATGTATCATCTTCAAAGCGGACTCCAATATATTCTATATTTAATTTTATCGTTTTATTTAAAGATAATGCGGAACTTCTTAAACGAGAAACTCGTTTCGTAAAATTTATGAATGAAATGACAAGTAAACTCACGTTGCTATAGTAACTAAGTAACATTTAGCGTTTTTCATGCCTACTATAATTAAAAACTTGAATTTTAATCTTTAATATTTTAGAATTGAAAAATAACGCTTATTTTCTGCAGATACATCATGCGTGCGATACATCATTGGAAAGCTAAAAATATGCTCTTTTTAGTAACATCATAATCAACTATAGTTTGTATTTAAAAACATACAACTTTGTTATATCTCAAAAATTATCAGCTATGTTTAAAATTTTTCAACGACAGTATATTCTACTCAAAAAAGTGCCTGTAGAATGTATTGACCCCATTTCTCTAATTTGAAAAATAAACGAAATATGAGCATTTTTTTAAATCACTAAAATTTGACTTTTTGGCTATAACTTAAAAACAAAAGAAGATAGAGATTTGGTCTTTACGGGATTGGATTAGCCTCGGAAAAAGAGACCGGGACATGGCACCTACTTTTTTTGTATCTCTTATAGTTTCTGAGATAGCCTATAATAACACCCAAATTTGCCCACCCTGTACATTGACAAATTGCAAGTCTGGAATTGCAAAATTTTAGCATGCAATTATTCCTGCTTTTTTTTTTAATATGAAGAATAAAATATCAAACCATTCCCTAACTCGCGTGATAACAACATTTATAAGTTGGCCACATCCAACTTCCTTTTTAAAATAGACGAGTTACCAGAAACACTACAAGAGCAAGTTATGGAAATTAAAAATGATTCTGCTGCTAAATATGATTTTGAGAAGATGAATACCTATGTCATTATTTACTACTAATTGTAAGAACTAGCGCTGCAACTGTATTTATAGTTGTAGCAATAAAATTGAAATATCTACGTGCGCTTTCTTCCATTCAACCTAGAATTGGAAATCTTGTCAAAAGTATGCAAATTCATCGGTCTCATTGATTGATTTGTTATTTCTTAACGCATGTTTGTAAAAACAATATTTTTATTCTTTTGTAATAAACCTTTTACGAAATATGTATTTTTTTTGCAGTTATGTTATTATACCTACACTGTTGGAAATAATTCACGAGCACACCTGTATAAACTGAACGCGTGTGTCTAGCGCAATAAAATTTGGTATGGAAGTAGTTCTAAAGTAGTATAACTTACTCTCACATGGAAAACGGCACAACTCTGCTGGGAGGAGAAACATCAATAGCGAGAATATCCCCCGTGAGCTTCACGTATCATCGCTACACGACGTCTATAAGTCTATAAGTCGCTATATAACCATGCCACCACAACTCGCCTCCATAGCTCCTCAACGTTAGCCGAGGAAGCCGGATAACGTAGAAGTCTGTGACCAGTCATGTCCCAAACATGTTCGATCGGATTCAGATACGGAAACCGAGCTAGCCATGGAAGCATTCGTATATGGTGCTCTTCCACAAAGGTCTGTACAACACGCCCGATGTGTTGTCGTATGTTGTCGTGCATGTATAGCAGACCTGGTAGCCGCCGAATGCAGGGAAGCACAACGGACCGTAGCCCATCATCTACGTATCGTTGAGCTGTCATGGTTTGCTATACACGCAGCAGACGTGTACGTCCACCATATGTAATCGCACCCCATACCATAATGCTCGGTTGTCGGTGGATAGGGCGTTCTTGCACACACTGCTCGAGTAGACGATCATCACGGCTACGACGAACTAAGATTCGCGCATCACCGGTGCTCAATTCGAATCTTGATTCGTCGGAAAACAAAATGTCCCTCTACTGGGCAACCTACTAATGCCTAGCGTCGACCCACTCGTGACGTATGCTGCGGTACTCGGGTGTTACTGGAATCCGCTGTATCGAACGACTCGCGCGCCAGTCCACTATCTACCAAACGCCTCCGTACAGTTCGCGTAGTGAGTGCACCTTCTCCTACCGGTGGTCAAACAGCTCCAAGTTGCCTTGAGGAGGACACACACGACGCTAAAGCACTGAGCACAAGAGCGCGATCCTCGTGTGCTGGGGACGCGCAGGGCCGTCTCGGCCGCGGCTGAAGGTACCTATGTCCTACCTCAGACCATTCTCACCATGCCCGTTACACTGCCGATAACGACGCGCAATTTCACAGAACGATACACCCTCAATGTGCATACCCACAAACATTCCTCGCTCAAACTCGCTTAAGTAACGCGATCGCCCATCCATTGTGCACAGAGTACGATAACAATGTGGTCCCCCACACCACACTAAAAACGACCGGTCTCCATAGCGACGGAATGTTCCACTTGGAAGGGCGGCTCAGTCAACAATGCCGCGACGGAACAACTCGAAACTCCCTGAATAAACTCGTCTACAGTAAACCTTTGTGCTTCGCAAATATTATGGATTTATCTTCACGCGTTCAGATTATATAAGGTATGCTCGTGAATTATTTCCAACAGTGTATTATAAAATTACGGTAAGGGGCGTCTTATTGTGATTTTAGATAGTAAGGAGGCGTGATAATAAAAACTTTGGAAACCGCTGCATTAGAACTAACGTTAGACCTAGAAGTAGAAACATTCAGATTTAGCCATCTTAAGAGACGCACGGCTAAGAGTTTCTAGTTTTAGGTCTAGTGTTAGTTCTAATAATAGTGCTAGCGTAAAACTGGAACTAACACTACACCTAGAACTAGAAAGTATCGGGTTTAGCCGTGCGTCTTCAGGCTCGAACGATTTTTTTTGTTCGCACAAAAGAAACTTTCGTTCTCGAATGCAAAAGTGTCTTTGTATCAAAAATAACTATTTGTATATTGCATCTTAAGTGAAATTCACTGCATAAACTTAAATTGTGCCATATAATTCTAATTTGAGTATAGATTTTTTGATGTTAATCGATTTTCGATTGTAAACTTGATTTCTTAAAAAAAAAAAAGTAATGATATATAAACATATGAAATTAAATGAATTACTTTTGCGAGGCCTGCGGTTCGCTCCAACCTAACCTGGCCGCGGCTGTTGCTNCAGATTTTTATAAAAAAAGTGTATAATATTTGAAATGGACGAACAGGAGATTGTCAGCGAAATACTCGGCACTATCCCCAACGAACACACAACATCTGCACTAAACTGCTTAGTGCAAGTGAGTGCAAGTAGTGCAGTCCCAACGAACAAAGCTAAAGACGAAATGCTGTTTTCTACTGAGTTAACGACAACTTCAAAAGCAGATGATACAATGACAGCTATAATGACAGTATGTTGATGTCAGAAAACCAACTGTCCTAGTAGTATTGCCTTATCTATCGGATATTCTTGATTCCTTGAATTCACTAAACTTGAAATTGCAATAGAACATAATTTATCATCGAGGTGCCATCACGACGTACATTGAAAAATTGCAAGTCTGGAATTGCAAAATTTTAGCATGCAATTATTCCTGCTTTTTGGGGCACTGATAATATGAAGAATAAAATATTAAAACATTTGCAGCACATCAGCCATAAATTCAAGCGTTACTTCTCTAACTCGTGTGATAACAACATTTATAAGTTGGCCACATCCAACTTCCTTTTTAAAATAGATGATCTACCAGAAACACTCCAAGAGCAAGTTATGGTAATTAAAAATGATTCTGCTGCTAAATATGATTTTGAGAATACCTAAGTCACTATTTTGGGTAAAATATCTCAAACTTTATCTCAGCATAGCAGAATTAGCACTGCAACTGTATTTACAGTTGTAGCAATAAAATTGAAATATCAACAAAATCTCTTCTTGAAATCTTGTCAGAAGTATGCAAACTCATCCATTTCGTTAATTGATTTGTTCTTTCTTAACGCATGTGTGTGAAAACTATATTTTATTCTTTTGTAATAAAACTTTTACGGTGAGGAGGGCGTCGTATTGTGATTTTAGGTAGTAGGGAGGCGTGATAAAAGAAACTTTGGGAACCACCGCATTAGAACTAACGTTAGACCTAGAAGTAGAAACATTCAGATTTAGCCATCTTAAGAGACGCACGGCTAAAAGTTTCTAGTTTTAGGTCTAGTGTTAGTTCTAATGATAGTGCTAGCATAAAACTGGAACTAACACTAGACCTAGAAAGTATCGGGTTTAGCCGTGCGTCTTCAGGCTCGGACGATTTTTTTGTTCGTTAAAGCTCGCAAAAGAAACTTGTAAAATGTAAAAGTGTCATTTCGCTATTTTGTATCAAAAATAACTATTTGTATATTGCATCTTAAATGAAATTCAGTGTATCAACCTAAATTGTGCCATATCATTCTAATTTGAGTAATAGATTTTTTGATGTTAATCGATTTTCGATTGTAAACTTGATTTCTTAAAAAAAAAGTAATGATATATAAACATATGAAATTAAATGAATTACTTTTGCGAGGCCTNACTATGAACGACCGGTCTCCATAGCGACGGAATGTTCCACTTGGAAGGGCGGCTCAGTCAACAATGCCGCGACGGAACAACTCGAAACTCCCTGAATAAACTCGTCTACAGTAAACCTTTGTGCTTCGCAAATATTATGGATTTATCTTCACGCGTTCAGATTATATAAGGTATGCTCGTGAATTATTTCCAACAGTGTATTATAAAATTACGGTAAGGGGCGTCTTATTGTGATTTTAGATAGTAAGGAGGCGTGATAATAAAAACTTTGGAAACCGCTGCATTAGAACTAACGTTAGACCTAGAAGTAGAAACATTCAGATTTAGCCATCTTAAGAGACGCACGGCTAAGAGTTTCTAGTTTTAGGTCTAGTGTTAGTTCTAATAATAGTGCTAGCGTAAAACTGGAACTAACACTACACCTAGAACTAGAAAGTATCGGGTTTAGCCGTGCGTCTTCAGGCTCGAACGATTTTTTTTGTTCGCACAAAAGAAACTTTCGTTCTCGAATGCAAAAGTGTCTTTGTATCAAAAATAACTATTTGTATATTGCATCTTAAGTGAAATTCACTGCATAAACTTAAATTGTGCCATATAATTCTAATTTGAGTATAGATTTTTTGATGTTAATCGATTTTCGATTGTAAACTTGATTTCTTAAAAAAAAAAAAGTAATGATATATAAACATATGAAATTAAATGAATTACTTTTGCGAGGCCTGCGGTTCGCTCCAACCTAACCTGGCCGCGGCTGTTGCTCTAACACCTCCACGTTGAAACTCCCCAAGTCCAGGAAGATCCTCCAAATTTCCAGATCCGGATCGTTTTAATTTCCCAATAATCTTTTTAATCCCAGTCTTGTTCTTATTAAATTGCAACGAAGGCGATTGGGGGTTATCCCCAAGATCTTCAATCACAATCTTCTCAGTTTCAGCTATAAAAATTTGGTTTATAGAAATTATTAAATTAATTTTAAAGTTAATTAGAAAACAAAAAAGACAATTTTTAAAGTTTCATGCTTGGTGATTAAAATAATTCTAAAGAGCCAGGAAAGGTGCTGAAAGTTATTTACATAATTTTCGTCTTCTTTTTAAATAAATAGTCATTGAAGATAAGATGTTTGTTAGATAGCTCAAGTCAAAGGCACGAATAATACATTAAGCGGAAAAAAGCGGGTAAATATACAAAAAAAAAAAAACATTGACGAAGACGGAGCATGCCACAGACTGGAGCTATCACCTAGATTGGGAACGGAATGTCCCCTGGACCGACCCCCAAGAAGTGAAGAAAACCCCCTACCAAAGGCCACGCCTTTCCTGGCCCCGTCCGTGGGATTTGCATTCGAATCCACCACCCCCAAGGCGCCGCCATTACTTAAAAACTGTTGACGCGGCAAGCTTGAATACTGCAAATCAATTTGTCTCCGATAATTAGATGGTGGCGTCTAAAAATTTCCAAAAATCATCACAAAATCATCATAAAAAAACAAACAAACCTTTGGTGGTTGTTGAACATCTTGTTGGCTGGATGAATCCGTTTTTCTAGGAGATGAAGATAACGAGCTGGAAAGTTGACTTGGAGATGGTGAAGTTCTTAAATTCTTTCAAAAAAAATTAATTTAATATTTAAAAAATTAAAAATTAACATTTTTACTTGATGACTCGAATGATGAATAGGAGTGGAAGTTTGTTGAGGTTGAGGTGAAGCTCTCGGATATTTCTTATTCAAATCCACGGTGGAATTATTATTATATTGAGTACTTCTCAATTGAACCAATTCCCTTTCTAACTCCGCATGTTGTAGTTTTAATTCACTCATAGCTGACATTAATTCTAACTTTTGAGTTTCTAACGAAGATCTTGATAACATTTCCTACAACAACATTAAATTAATTTTCAAGAATTAAATAGAATAAGTAAAAAAAATACTCTTTGAAGAACATCTTCAGTACTGATCAATTGTTGTTTTTTCTCTTGCAACGATTTTTCTAAATCGGTTATCTTTTCACTTTGAGCTTCAATTTGTTCTGAAAGCACTTGCACCTGTAATTGTAAATTATCTTTTTCGCTTTGTAATTTTCTGTATCTATCATCTTGTTCGTGAGGCTGTAAATGTTAAAAAAAAATAATTATTTTATGTCATTATTAAAAAAAAGTGGGATATAAGGACAATTCACTCGTTATTTTTCTTTAATTTTTTCTACCTTATTAATATAAGGTGGTGGAGTCCAATGATAACTTCTACTATCTCCAAAAAAACAGCAAGGAGGTGCCATATGATAAGAACAGCACCCCATCGGAGGTGCATCGTAACGAAACCTCCCACAATCCCCGTAAATATCGGGATGACTTCCTCTTTCCCCGTAACGTTGTTCCATCAACATTGGGCTACTTCCGTATCTTTGAGGATCCATCCTCTCGTGCCTTTTATGAAAATTATCGTAATAAATATTTTCTTGGTGGGGATTACAACACCAACTTTGGCACATTTGATAATCGTCGAATCTCGGAGGGCTTTTAATAATATGACTTGATCGCGATTTTTGGTCGCGTTCTTGTCGATTTTGGAGATGCCTTCTCCGGCCTAAACTGCCAGGATGTTCTCGTTCCTGGGATTTCCGTTGGGATTTCTCCCTGCTGCCGGATCTACTTATCGGGGGCTTCCCCTGGAGGTGCTCCTCCATTTTCGGCGAGGAGGATTTGTCACTTTCCCTCTGGATCCATTGGAACTCGTCGCACCTGGTCGAGCTATCTAAACAACCAACGAGAACAAACGACCAAGTTTTTGTTTGCGACAAAGCAAGATTCAAACGGAAATAAACCTTTTAGCTTTTGCCTGTCCGACGATGAGGAAGTAGACAAGTCGGAAGTGGAATCTTGGAGACTCCCCGACCATCTTTCGTGACCCTTCACGGTGGATTCATCTTCTAAACTAGAATCGCCGCCTGTGTTGAAAGAATTTGTTAAGATTTAGGAGGACATTTTGGGGGTTCAATCGATATGAGATACGAAAGCGATCCGAAAGGAACAATTGTTTGTAGTCGGGGAAGCGTATTTTCTAAAATTAATTTTCTTATAAGGGTTTCTACCTGTCAGAAACACAATACCTGGTAGTTATTGCCATCTGTAAACGACAGATTAACATGAATTGACCTTTTGGAGTCATGTTACGCAATTTAAAGAAACTATTGTTTTACAAATAGGTCATAAAAAATATTCCAAGATTTCGGATTCTTTGTTGCAAAGAAATAAATTGATAAATGTACCAAAGTTTATTATAAATTTTAATCTCCATCAATGTTAACTTATAGCGATAAGCTATTAATATATAAACCAACACCATTTATCCATAACCACTCAAAATTATTAACGGTAACTTCAAGTTCATTTTGATTACATCCATGGCGAATACTCATGTAAGTTTTTATTTATTTTATTACTATATAAAATTACAACGGGATTATAGACAGATGTTTATGCTCCGTTTTTGCACGCGCCGAGTCCAAATAGAATTATCTCAGTACTTGGAATACCGCAAACCGATGGGAATAGGTACCACATCTTCGTTGATTGTTATATAAACATTAATTTATAACATTTTAGAGTGTCAATAAGTCTTAAGAATAATTCAACTGGACACCACATTTTTCATATGGCCCTTTGGTACTCATTCGATGATACTACTATAATTCTTAACACTTCCGGCGAATTCGGATGGGACAACGAAGTGGCTTTCAGAAATATTAATCTTCTGACACCCAATGAGCGATTTATGGCTTCAATCCTATATGAACCTGATGGCTATCATGTAATTTAAAGGTAAACATAATAAATATTATAATGATATTTTTTTTTTAGATCAACATCGATAACCGTTTTACCTATTCTTTTGTCAAAAGATATAATCAGTCATTATCTAATAGATTAGTAATTGAAGGACAGGTTCTTCTTATAAGCGTAAACCAACAGTAATTTGATGTACTTGACGAACTGGCTATTCTGATAATTGATTTTATGTAGCATTAAAAAATCTATATTAATATAACTTTTAATCAGCACATTCAATAGTGTAGTTTTAATTCAGTTATTGATGTTAAAATTTAATTGTCTTGATCATGCTTCTATCAAGTCAAATCGCTTGCGGCCGAGGTTTAGCATTATGATTACGAGGATTTAATTGCTATAATGTTAATTGCAGAACCTCGGTCGCAAGTTACCTCGCCTTAATTAAGTGAAGTCCTAAATTCTCCACCCTAAGTTAAGTCGAGGTCGATTGCGGCCGAGGCTCTACCACAGAATAACCAGAAAGAACAGTGGCAGTGTCTCGCCAAATCTGACGCCATATCATAGCGAGTTACCAAGGTAAGTTTTAATTGTGATTCAGCACTAGGTTGTTGTATATTTTTTTGTAATTCGCGACGGTAACGAAAGCTCTAACAGTACTCAAACGAGTGCTGTAATGAGACTCCTTACAGCATCCGATGCTGTAATGAGATTTTAGTAACATTTTATGGAACCAGTTCAAGGTGGTGACATTGGGTCATTAATTTTTCTAGTTGTCAATGTGACAATTTTTGTCTATGGATGTTTACACAGGTTCTTAGCATCGAATACAAGGTCCACAATGATGAGGACATTGAACACTGAGCAATTTCTCTTATTTTGGGAGGTGTACATGAAACATTTTTTTCAGGTGAATACATTTTGTGTTTTGACAGTTNTCGATTGCGGTCGAGGCTCAACCACAGAATAACCAGAAGTAACAGTGGCAGTGTCTCGCCAAATCTGACGCCATATCATAGCGAGTTACCAAGGTAAGTTTTAATTGTGATTCAGCACTAGGTTGTTGTATATTTTTATCGAATTAACACTAGACCTAGAACTAGAAATATTCGGATTTAGCCGTGCGTGTCTAAAGACGGCTAAACCCGAATGATTCTAGTTCTAGGTATAGTGTTAGTTCTAGTTTTACACTTGCACTGCCACTAGAACTAACACTAGACCTAGAATTAGAAGCAGTTGGATTTAGCCGTACTTTTGTTAAGACGGCTAAACCCGAATGATTCTAGTTCTGGCTCTAGCGCTGCATAACAATTAAAACTAGAACCCACACTAGACCTAGAACTAGAAAGTTTCGGGTTTAGCCATGCGTCTCTAAAGACGGCTAAATCCGAATGTTTCTAGTTCTAGGTCTAGTGTTAGTTCTAGTTTTATACTNTAACTGAGATACCCTGCAAACCCATCGAAATTTGGACACCCTGTACTCAACGGATCTTCATTCTGTGCTTTTGATAACTCGCAATAAGATGGAGGATTTTTAAATCAAGGTCACAAAACGAAGTGCCGCCAACATCAAATGAATCGACGTCAGTGTCATTTCTGGTTATTCTGTGGCTCAACTTTGTGTTGATGTGATGTTAATTACAGAAGTTATCGTCTGCTCTAAGTTAAGCAAGTGTTGATCATTTCGGATTAATGATATTAATTGTAGAGTCTTAGCAAATCATCCTCAATGTAACCTTTTATGAATTTTTTAATTCGATTAAAATATATTCCTACAAACTNGATTTAGGGGATATTGAAACCAGACAACTCAATTTTGTCAGTCAACACTAGAACTAACATTAGACCTAGAAACATTTTGGTTTAGCCGCACGTCTCTAGGAGTTGGATAACCTTATATAGTATGTGTACTCAACGGATCTTGATTCTGTACTTTTGATAACTCGCGATAAGATGGAGGATTTAAATCAAGGTCACAAAACGAAGTGCCGCCAACATCAAATGAATCGACGTCAGTGTCATTTCTGTTCATGTTAACTACAGAAGTTATCGTCTGCTCTAAGTCAAGCAAGTGTTGATAAGTTCGGATTAATATGATATTAATTGTAGAGTCTTAGCAAATCATCCTCAATGTAACCTTTTACGAATTTTTTAATTCGATTAAAATATATTCCTACAAAATTATCTAAATACAACATTGTATTTAGTCTGGAATTTCGATTATACATTCTAGGCTCCATTNTTTCTAGTTCTAGGTCTAGTGTCAGTTCTAGTTTTACACTAGCACTGTTACTATGTAGAACTAACACTATACCTAGAACTAGAAACATTCGGATTTAGCCGTGCGCGTCTAAAGACGGCTAAACCCGAATGATTCCAGTTCTAGGTATAGTGTTAGTTCTAGTTTTACACTTGCACTGCCACTAGAACTAATACTAGACCTAGAATTAGAAACAGTTGGATTTAGCCGTACTTTTGTTAAGACGACTAAACCCGAATGATTGTAGTTCTGGCTCTAGCGCTGCATAACAATTAAAACTAGAACCCACACTAGACCTAGAACTAGAAAGTTTCGGGTTTAGCCATGCGTCTCTAAAGACGGCTAAATCCGAATGTTTCTAGTTCTAGGTCTAGTGTTAGTTCTAGTTTTATACTAGGACTGTTACTATGTAGAACTAACACTATATCTAAAACTAGAATCATTTGGGTTCAGCCGTCTTTAGAGACGTGCGGCTGAACCCAAATGATTCTAGTTCTAGGTATAGTGTTAGTTCTAGTTTTACACTTGCACTGTCACTATAACTAACATTAGACCTAGAAGTAGAAACAGTTGGATTTGGCCGTACTTTTGTTAAGACGGCTAAATCCGAATGATTCTAGTTCTGGCTCTAGCGCTGCATAACAATTAAAACTAGAACCCACACTAGACCTAGAACTAGAAAGTTTCAGGTTTAGCCATGCGTCTCTAAAGACGGCTAAATCCGAATGTTTCTAGTTCTAGGTCTAGTGTTAGTTCTAGTTTTATACTAGGACTGTTACTATGTAGAACTAACACTATATCTAAAACTAGAATCATTTGGGTTCAGCCGTCTTTAGNGGATTAATATGATATTAATTGTAGAGTCTTAGCAAATCATCCTCAATGTAACCTTTTACGAATTTTTTAATTCGATTAAAATATATTCCTACAAAATTATCTAAATACAACATTGTATTTAGTCTGGAATTTCGATTATACATTCTAGGCTCCATTCTATTTATATCGACGAATATACTGAACGCTTTGTCCTCATCTCACTTATTAATAAAGACCGTATGGTTTTAATCAAAGCACGCATACCTTCCACAAATTACTTTATTAATTGAAACCATAACGTTTTCTTAAATCGATACAAACTTAATTTTCATCAAATATGTTATTCACGTTTAAGGAACGTCGAGGTCAATTTATAGATTCGCCACAAGAATGCTTTGTTAATTTAAAGCTGTTATTCGAATTGTTATTGCAATGAAGTAAACGTCAATATGAATATAAACATTAAGTGCCACGTGGCGCCAACGCGGAACTTTGAGTTCAACTCGAGCGGTTATTTCGGGAGATTAGAAGCGACTTAAGAATCGTGTCAGTAGTGTAAACGAGGAAGTATTTTCGAATTAGAACAAAGCGAGCAATAAAAGAAAAAAGACCTAGTTTTATACCCGAAAACGTTGAATGTTCTACTCCGTTTATATTGTTTTTGTAACTCATGCTCGCACAGGTTGACCACTACAACAACGCGACGCAGACCATTTCAGAAATGCGCTTCTAGACGAAAACCGGGAAACTAGACGTTTATTTCGGGGTCGAATTGGCCTCCTGCCAATTTACTAGAGCAGGCACGAATTCGGTCGGTTCGTTTCGAAAATTAATTTCGGCTTAATTGGTTTAACTATGGACAATTGACTCAAGTTTTAGTGTCCATTAGGAGTTAATATCGTTTTAGAGATAGAAACGGAATCGAAAAAAGAAATAATTAGATATTTTTGGTTGAAAGATTCCATCTTATGTTAGTAAAATAAACAACGTTTTACCGTTTTACACGGAGTAAGTTATTTAAAAGTTGTATATCTTTGACGTAAACACTTTCGTAGAATGTTTAAACCATAAGTTTGTTGGTTTTTGAAGGGGTGCACCTGAAGTAAACACCCTGAAAGAGGGTTCTAAATTATTTACTAATTGAAATCTATTTTAAAGATTTTATGGTATCTTCTCAAAGATTTCATGCTTCCTTCGCGGCCGCAAAAACACGTTTATAATGACGTCAGGTTCTTCAATTGAAACCAATTGAGATACGCCGTTTATGCTTTTAAATGTGAGTTTGAAAAGAAATGTAAGTTAAAATAAAAAAATAAATGGTTAATTTGTGAATTTAGTATGAAGTACTTCGTATTTCGAGTGGGTTAATTGTGCATCTTTAAAAGCCGCGGTTCATTTAGGATTCGTTCACCTCTGACACGTATACAGGGCACTAGCGCAACTCGGAAGAGGGCGTGAATGCACCTCCTGAATAAACGCAAATGAGAGCTTTTGTGTCGAGAGAGGGAGGAAATTCAAAAAAACGTTTGTGATACCTTCCGTCGACCTGAAACTACTATTGGCAGTGGTTGTGGTAACTCTATCCTCTTCGGTGATAGTTTCCAGTCCACCGTTGGATTCACTATCACTGCTCACAACGTCTTGATCGTCACTATCTTCGTCTTCATCGTCGGAAATTTCATCATCTTCGACCGATTCGAACGCCCTTTTCGAGGCAAACCTTTGCACATCTAAAGCGGTCAAGTCGAAATCTTTAACGGCCAGTTCGAAGACGTCTTCCGGCAGATCCACTTTGAACGGCGTCTCTTTGGACTTTACCGCAGCCCCCGCCGATCGCCGACGTTGAGACGCCTGGCGAATATTTTTAGCCGGCCCGTCGGGACGCTGCTTCCTCCGAACGTCGACGTCCTTTCCCTCGGGAAAACCTCTAGTCTTCCCAAAAGCACCAGATTCTCGCCGCTGGTTACTCTTCTCCAGCATAGCTATCGCGGTTGCCACCAGCGAACCACTCTTTATTTCTTTTAAATCTCTCATAGTAGATTATTAATCACCACTCATCGTTGAAGATAAATTAAAGATAACCGTCGGTGGTCATCGACGGTTATCATGACGATCTTCGAGCGTTGGACGCCCAACTCAGACTGCATATGCCATATGTGAGAAACGTTGCGACAAAACCAAAAATAGCGCCATCTCGTATTCGTCTCGTCCCCGCAACTTATAAACATGGTTATGGTATTTTAGGAGATCGCTATAAACTCTACAAGTTAATTATTTCTGACCTCACTTACATCTATAAGTTATCTTACTCGGAAGTGCATTGACACGAAATTGCTAATTTTCGTCATAATATGAATGAAAAGGTACCACCAAATTGAAATGGCCCTCGAAAACATTGGTAAAAACAACTTTTAATCCCGAATGGGGTTAAATTTAAAAGATTAAATGTTCTTTCAACTTTATCCAACGGACGGATGAAATAACTTTTTTCTCTTCACTTCAAAACATTTATTGAAGTTAATTAAAGTGGATTAAATTCAGCAATGTTTAAAATCAACTTACAAAAATGTGACTTTGTTACAAAATCAAAGTTAAAAGAACGAAATATCTAGGGAAATATGACTCCTTTCTTATTTAATCCAATAATAGAGAAGATCATAGAAAAGGTCACAGAACTAAAAATGGGGTATCATAAAATGGATTTGCTACACAGACGACGATATGACTTCACGTCATTAAACTTGGTCAACACAATGATGAGCCTCAGTCGCAAGCGACCTCGGCAACCAGGTAACCCGAGACTCTGTAAATAACATTTTATCCACCCAAATCTGGTCAACATATTGCTGAACCTTGGCGTAACCTAGGGTAGAGTCTTTTTCGTTTGCGGCGGAGGCTCTGCAATCAACCCAAACTTAGTCGTCGCAATGCTGAACCTCGACCGCAAGCAACCTCGGCTTAATCAGGTGAAGTCACAGATCTTCTGTCTTAACTTAACTAGTAACCTCGACTTGATCCTTTGCTATAAATTAAGCAGAGGTTGCTTGCGGCCGAGGATAGCGACCTCAACTTGATCCTTTGGCATAAATTAAGCCGAAGTCGCTTGCGGTCGAAACTTGTGACCTTGACTTGATTTTCTGCCTTAAGTTAAGCCGAGGCTCAACTTTGTGTTAACAGATTTGGATTGATGTGACGTTAATTACAGAGCGCCTGTCTTAAAATAAGCCGAGGTCAATCGTGGAACTCTTTTACCTAACAGATCTACATATATTTATTAAAAAATAAATAATAAATTTGGTAATATGAGATTATTAAGAATATTCCAAACAAAAACTTCGTAATACATCAATAATAATACAACACAATAATGAGCCTCAGCCGCAAGCGACCTCGGCAACCAGGTAACCCGAGACTCTGTAAATAACATTTTATCCACCCAAATCTGGTCAACATATTGCTGAACCTTGGCGTAACCTAGGGTAGAGTTTTTTTAGACTACACTTGATTACGACGAGGTTGTTAGCTGCCGAGGCTCTGCAATCAACGGCATATCAACCCAAACTTAGTCGTCGCAATGCTGAACCTCGGCCGCAAGCAACCTCGGCTTAATTAGGTGAAGTCATAGATCTTCTGTCTTAACTTAACTAGTAACCTCGACTTGATCCTTTGCTATAAATTAAGCAGAGGTTGCTTGTGGCCGAGGATAGCGACTTCAACTTGATCCTTTGACATAAATTAAGCCGAAATTGCTTACGGTCGAGACTTGTGACCTTGACTTGATTTTCTGCCTTAAGTTAAGCCGAGGCTCAACTTTGTGTTAACAGATTTGGATTGATGTGACGTTAATTACAGAGCGCCTGTCTTAAAATAAGCCGAGGTCAATCGTGGAACTCTTTTACCTAACAGATCTACATATATTTATTAAAAAATAAATAATAAATTTGGTAATATGAGATTATTAAGAATATTCCAAACAAAAACTTCGTAATACATCAATAATAATACAACACAATAATGAGCCTCAGCCGCAAGCGACCTCGGCAACCAGGTAACCCGAGACTCTGTAAATAACATTTTATCCACCCAAATCTGGTCAACATATTGCTGAACCTTGGCGTAACCTAGGGTAGAGTTTTTTAGACTACACTTGATTACGACGAGGTTGTTAGCTGCCGAGGCTCTGCAATCAACGGCATATCAACCCAAACCTAGTCGTCGCAATGCTGAACCTCGGCTTAATCAGGTGAAGTCACAGATCTTCTGTCTTAACTTAACTAGTAACTTCGACTTGATCCTTTGCTATAAATTAAGCAGAGGTTGCTTGTGGCCGAGGATAGCCACCTCAACTTGATCCTTTGGCATAAATTAAGCCGAAGTCGCTTGCGGTCAAAACTTGTGACATTGACTTGATTTTCTGCCTTAAGTTAAGCCGAGGCTCAACTTTGTGTTAACAGATTTGGATTGATGTGACGTTAATTGCAGAGCGCCTGTCTTAAAATAAGCCGAGGTCAATCGTGGAACTCTTTTACCTAACAGATCTACATATATTTATTAAAAAATAAATAATAAATTTGGTAATATGAGATTATTAAGAATATTCCAAACAAAAACTTCGTAATACATCAATAATAATACAACACAATAATGAGCCTCAGCCGCAAGCGACCTCGGCAACCAGGTAACCCGAGACTCTGTAAATAACATTTTATCCACCCAAATCTGGTCAACATATTGCTGAACCTTGGCGTAACCTAGGGTAGAGTTTTTTTAGACTACACTTGATTACGACGAGGTTGTTAGCGGCCGAGGCTCTGCAATCAACCCAAACCTAGTCGTCGCAATGCTGAACCTCGGCCGCAAGCAACCTCGACTTAATCAGGTGAAGTCACAGATCTTCTGTCTTAACTAGTAACCTCGACTTGATCCTTTGCTATAAATTAAGCAGAGGTTGCTTGTGGCCGAGGATAGCGACCTCAACTTGATCCTTTGGCATAAATTAAGCCGAAGACGCTTGCGGTTGAAACTTGTGACCTTGATTTGATTTTCTGCCTTAAGTTAAGCCGAGGTTCAACTTTGTGTTAACAGATTTGGATTGATGTTACGTTAATTACAGAGCGTTTGTCTTAAAATAAGCCGATGTCAATTGTGGAACACTTTTACCTTACAGATCTACATATCTTTATTAAAAAATAAATAATAAATTTGGTAATATGAGATTATTAAGAATATTCCAAACAAAAACTTCGTAATACATCAATAATAATACAACACGTAATACAACACAATAATGAGCCTCAGCCGCAAGCGACCTCGGCAACCAGGTAAACCGAGACTCTGTAAATAACATTTTATCCACCCAAATCTGGTCAACATATTGCTGAACCTTGGCGTAACCTAGGGTAGAGTTTTTTTTAGACTACACTTGATTACGACGAGGTTGTTAGCTGCCGAGGCTCTGCAATCAACGGCATATCAACCCAAACCTAGTCGTCGCAATGCTGAACCTCGACCGCAAGCAACCTCGGCTTAATCAGGTGAAGTCACATATCTTCTGTCGTAACTTAACTAGTAACCTCGACTTGATCCTTTGCTATAAATTAAGCAGAGGTTGCTTGTGGCCGAGGATAGCGACCTCAACTTGATCCTTTGGCATAAATTAAGCCGAAGTCGCTTGCGGTCGAAACTTGTGACCTTGACTTGATTTTCTGCCTTAAGTTAAGCCGAGGCTCAACTTTGTGTTAACAGATTTGGATTAATGTGACGTTAATTGCAGAGCGCCTGTCTTAAAATAAGCCGAGGTCAATCGTGGAACTCTTTTACCTAACAAATCTACATATCTTTATTAAAAAATAAATAATAAATTTGGTAATATGAGATTATTAAGAATATTCCAAACAAAAACTTCGTAATACATCCCCAATTATAGGTCTTGAATACAACTTTTCTTAATCCACTTTTTCTGGTGCGTTTTTCCACCAATAATAAATAATAAATCCTATATAATTTAACAACCTATAAGAACCATTTTTAGCGCCCCAACACGTTTATTCTCGTAACACCTCAAAAATGAATCACTCGAAACCAAAAAATTACTTCAAATTCCATTACGATGTCTTAAAAATTTTTGGTATATCAATCGAAGATTTTCAAAACCCCTTCATTGAAATCATCTACAAAACTTACGCGATAATGGTGATAGCACTCTTTTTTTATATTTACGCAATAACAGAAATAGTTGATTTATTACAAACCTGGGAAAATCTAGAAACTTCAACGTTTACAATGAGTTATTTAACCAGTCATATTTTGGGAATTTCCAAACTATCGATTGTGTTAATCTTCCGAAAAAGCATCGACAAATTCTGCAAAAATCTTAACGAAGGTGTATTCAAACCAAATCCTTTAAGAAGTGGCCCTCAAGAACAAACGATCATTTCGAACGCAACAAAAACGTGCAATCTACAAGGTTCTTTTTTTCACGTTTTTGTCATTTTAATTGTGGGTCAAAGAGCTTTATACGCCATTTTGGATAAGGGAAGATACGAAAATTATTTCGACGAAAAAACAAATTCGACCTTTCCGAAATTAATAAGAACTTTACCGTATTCATGTTGGTTGCCATTTGAACCGATAGATTCTCCTTATTACGAATTGGGGGTGAGTTACCAAGTGATAAGCGCCTGCTTCTTCGGGTTTATAATCGGCGCAATTGATGCGTTAATTTGCGGGATTTTATCGCATATTAAGGCGCAATTTTTAATATTAAAGAATTGTTTAAAAACTTATTTTGAGAGAGGCGTGTATTTAATGCAAAAAGATGGATTTGAACAAATCGAAAGTAATAATCACGTCCTTCAAAAATATGTCGATATCTGTATTTGTGATTGCATAAAACATCATCACGCGATTATTGAGTTAGCTGATGGTGCTGAAATAACTTTTAGTTTGTTGATGTTGATACAGTTTTTGGGGAGTCTCTTTTTGATTTGTTTTCAGTTGTTTCAATTATCTTTGGTGGGTCAAATAAGATTTATTAAGTTAATTTTTTTTGTAGTATGAATTGGGTTCTTTTAGATTCTTCAGTATGATTTGTTACCTTTTCTTGATGTTGTATCAAATTTTGATTTATTGCTGGCATGGAAATGAGGTGATGCTGGTTAGTAATGAAATAATCGATGCCGCTTTTGAATCGGATTGGATTAATGTAAGCACTTCTAGCCAAAAGTCTTTATTATTAATGATGATGAGAGCTCAACGCCCCATAAAAATGTCTGCGGGGAAATTTACGTTTTTGTCATTGGAGACATTTATGGCTGTAAGTTAAAATTATTTTCAAAAATTATTTAGTTTGTTTTTGCAATTTTTTAGATAGTTCGTGGATCCGGTTCTTATTTTATGGTCCTTCGAAACATGAATATCAACTTGAAATAAGCGACATCAAACGGATTTTAGTTGAGAAATTCCAAGATTTCCGCTGAAATAACGGCCGTAATTTCTGAAATTCCAACGAACTCGAATTATGGTGGCAAATATTTAAAATCTTTTCAAAACTTTTAATTACGCCGCGTTGTAATCCGGCGAATTTATGCACATTTTCAGGGATTTCTAATAACCTCGGTTATAGGGGTTAGTGAACTGCCCTTATTTGCACTTTATACTTACGCTTTAATAACACCGCTATTGTGTACGTACCTGCAACAAAAAGAAAAAAAAAATAGATTATGTGCATAATAAAACGTGGTAAGAGTTATTCTTTCAGTAACCGATGAACGGTTGTAACCCCGTTGAGCTGTAAAAAGACTGAAGTAGTTGCGAGAACACTTAACCTTTTATTGCTATTCGTTGTTCGCGAACTAGATCGATATTTGAGGGAGATACGATTCCTCGCAAATTTTATTCAGATAATTTTACAAAAAATTCGGAACAGGTGTCCCTCAAGCGTAGAGTAGGTTTAATTGATAGATAGAGGGGTCTTTTCAGCGCACGTTCAATGGTGGGAGTTGACACGTTAGAGATAACGAGCTATAAATAGCACAAAGGGTCCCAAATTGGTAATGGCGATTTAATGTTACGTTCCCAAAGCAGATTATTACCGATGCAAATTGCTAGCTTATATTTCGAATTTAATTACGAACCGTTGAGTAAGTTTCCTGAGCGGATTGGGCAATCCTGGATCCAGAAGATAAGGGACCCCGGGCGTAACTGCAACCCCATCCACCCCCGTCGTACCCAAATCCGCTTTGAAAGTTGCATTGCTGGTGCATGTTTAAGAATTCGGTCGTGTATGGATCGAGATAAGGTACAGGAAAAGTTTCTGCAAGCTCCTCCGATGGGGGGGCCGATGGTTTTGCTCGCGGGGGAAGAGGCGGGGGAGTCGAGGGATTGTCTTTCCTTTCAACCACCACTTCCCACCCTTGTTCTTTCTTATTTTTCCGTCTACCGAAAAATTTTCTAGACAATTTTGGAGAATTCGTTGTGATCTCAACATTTCTTGAAAAGGTGGGGCTATTTCTCTTCGGTGGCGGGGACGGCCTCAACTTCAATAGAAAAGTTATCTCGTCCTCTTCGTTTTGTAAACAGTTCATGTTGGAACACTCTGTTTTACAGTTTGACTCTTAAACAAAAGGACCAGCTGTAAAGCGAGAATGCGGGCGCAGGTGTACAAGAAAACTCTTAAATATACCCCCTTAAATCTTTAGACTTTAAGATTCGCAAAACGTTTAATCAAGAAAATCGAAACACAAGTGATCTTCTAAACTCACTAAATGAAACTGAGTCTTTACGATTCCACGGACCGATTCTATTCCGAGTAGCCCGTAAATCCAAGAAACAGGCGTCGACGTCGTCTTAACAAAAATAAAAAAGATTCGTCCACTACTTAGACGAGTAAAAAATGGGAGACATCAAAAAAATAATTTCATAATATCCACGTCCGTTCCATGCCATATCCATGCCAAGAATGGAACGGAAATGATTTAGAAATTTATGGGTTAACTTCGCGCAATGCGAAACGTGTGTCAGAGTGGAGTCACTCGCCCGGCAGCTAATTGAATCCCCAAACGTTGGTTGCACATCTGGAGACGTCTCGTCATCTCTCTCAGTCTTTGTGTTTGAGATGGGGAAGTTGTGGAACCGACAAAGAGAAGAAGAACGGAAAATTGCCTTACGGCCGCAGCAACAGGGAATCGATACCACGATTTGTCTTCGGATTTAATGGAACCATAATAATAGGAGACAGGGGGTGGAGCGACGGGAAGAGGAGTCCTAAATGCGCCCCCTTGGTGATACCTAGACGATGTGCGAAATGCATCCCGGTTTATGAATAATAAAAAGGGGTAAGGTATGAGGTTAAAACCCCCGTCGTGACAATATTAAAATCTATAGCTTAAGGAAAATATATTTTCCATTATAGTATTGTTAAAAACATATTTAAGCCTAAAAGGTTTTTGTAAAAGCAAGGAATTTTCCCTCTGAGTACACAACAACGAAGTGTTGATGAACGCTAGAGGCAAAAAAAAAAGTGAGAAAAAACGACTGCGCATTTTTCAGCTGTCCTCTTACAACTTCTCGAATATTCATCCCTATTGCAAAGATTAATGGGTATAAGCCGCTTTTAATATTGTGGGCCACACACAAAACGAAGCGATTACCATGCACGGTTTCCCTCTCATTATTTTTAAGGAATCCTAATTTAAATTTTATTACATTCGCACACTACTATTCCAATTCGCGTTTTCGTTCATCCATTATTTTTTTATTCGCGTTTCCGTATCTCTTTGCCTGGGGATACAATGGTGATGACGCGATTTCTCAAAACATTCCAGTTCAGACAAAAGGTCTCGTCGACCATATTTTTCGGCGTAATGCACCCCGCAGAATGAAAATCCGGTCCGCGCGGACTGAATTTTAATGCCGCAACCCAGTCCGGGCCATTTTACCGTCAGCGTGGATATTTTATCCTTGTGGCAACGGTGGCGGCGTTTTGTTCGCAGGACTGTGTCAGCATCAGCACCGGAAGTAGGGGCGATGAGACCGCGCGCAATTACTTTAATTAAAGCAAACAACCGTTTCTGCAGAGCCGTGGTAATTTGAATTTTCATATTCACACTTCGATTACTCCATTTAAGAGGGGGAGAATTAAAATTGCTTTTAAATTTTCTACGTGTCATTTTTTATTTCTGTATTAAAAAAATGTGATGTAAAATAATGTGATATTGGTAAGGATTATGATATGAGCCAATAAACTAAAAAAGAAAATTAACACGTTAATCCAATGTTAACTCTAAATTAAGGTGTTTTTCCTTGAAAATGAAAAATAATACTTTAATCGAGCGTTAATCGACGAATAGTATCGCATTAATTAAGGAACAGCTTTATAAAGCTCGATTAGCGTCCCGTTAAGTTCAAGAAAACTTGTGTAATTATATAAGAAGACTACAAAGTATTTCATTCTTTCAAATGATATAGATTAATGATCGATATCGCGTTAATTAATTTCCTATTATGTTAATTTAATAAAATTAACTTTTTAATTGTATTAATTAATATCTATTAGGATGGAACGTTTTCAAATATAAATTAATTTACAAGGAGGAGTTCGAAACGATTTGTAATGTTTTAAATAAATTAGAATTTGAAACAATGTATAGAACACTACCGGTTCTCCGCAGTGGTACATTTATTCAGGATTATATTGATTTGTGGGTCAGTCAACCCTCGCATCTTGCATGGGGAGGCAAAAATTCGAGTGCACGCGCCGTTTTTCAGTCGGCGAAGTTCGCCGCAAACGCTTTTAAAACTGCACGGTAAAAGATCCTCTGCGGCAAGCCGGCTTTCGGTGGACTTTTCGTCCGCGACGACCTACTAAATCGTAATCAGGGACCGGATTTCCAAGCACTTTACGAGATGCCTTAGAAACGCCACCCGGCCATCCACCTCCCAACTCCTCACTCAAACGTACGTTATTGGATCAAAACGAGTTATAAAATTACAATCAAAAAAATTTTAATGGAACAAGTTAATTTACCTGTAACCAATCCCAAATGGCTTTGAGGACTCCAGGTTCTGGTGGTGGAGGAGCTGCACAAGTTTGAAGTGCAGTAACGAGGGAGTTTGCAGCCTCTCGGACGCCGGGGGGTGAAGATATGAACCCGTAGTCAGGAGAATGTGCAGTGAGGGACCCACTGTTGCCTGAAACATTTAATAACCATCGTCAAACCCTTTAAAGTTGGATTTTAAATCGCCCCTCGTACCGGCAGTGATTAATTGAGTAGATTGCCGGGGTTTGAGGGGTGGTCAGTAAACTTCGGGGTCGTTACCGATACGGGGCGTTATTTGGGTTATTTAATAACAACTCCCCACACGGAAATTTGAAGGGTTTATCGGCGGATTTGCAGCAGCGGTTTATTAAAATCGATATAGTATGTTAGAGGATTTAGCACGGTGTGAAATGAAACCGGTCATTTCATCTATCCGTGGGAGATTGAATCGTATTTTATCACTAAAAAATAATGTATTAGTCGTCATGTTTATTTTACTTTTTTTTATTATTAACAAATGAAATAGAAAAACACGTTAGAAATTAATTAATTAAAAAAAGACAATCACCAAAATCGAAAAAATGCACACACAAAATGAATTTGATTTTACCCTTTCTTTTATAAACCAATTTCCACCAAATAAAGCTTACTTTTGAGACCTGCAATAAAAAAAACATAAAAGGGTAATAAATGGAGATGTTAAAAAATTAAGGGAGTACAAATTAAGTCTTCAATAAAAAAAAATTTACCATTTTCTCCGGTTTCACGAATACGACCAGAATGGCACATGTTCAACCACCACCAACGAGTCATTCGGACTCGGTATCAAAGTCTTACATTGAAACACGTTTTCAACAAACAATCATTTTTTTCAAGTTAAAATCTAATCTTATTAAAGCTGCAACTTATTAAAAAAATGTTGGCAAATTTTTTCTCCGTTAACGTAGACAGTATTGACGGAATCGAGTAAATCAATCACCTACTTATTTTTATCAACCCTTGTTATTTTAAGCTCATCTTTATATAAAAAATAACAAACAAATTTTTTTAATACCCAATTTTTAATTAAAACGATTCAAACCCAATTCTTATTTTAATCGCGTTTAATCCACGCCGAAAAGAAAAAATATTCGCGTAAAATTTCGTTTTATGAAAACAAATAAGTGTTCGCGACTGAATCTCTTCCCTTCTAACACACCTGTTGAAGGGTACAACATACACTGAGGGATGCTGCACGATTTTCCAACCGGCGACTGCGCCGAAATCCTCCCCCAAGTCATCCAATAATACACCACTTTTACAAAATACGAAAGTTTATAATTATTTAAAAAATATGTTAAAAATCAAAATGACATTAAACGTCAAAGTGACATTAGACGTCAAAGTGACACTTTAAACATTAATACACCCTACTTAATAATAAAACACATAAAGTTATCTTTATTACAAATTAAACAGATAAAAAGTGAATTAAACGTAAATTATGTACACAAAGAAGTGAGAATAAAAAGATAAAACTTAACCTATAACTTACAATAAACTTTAGCAAGGATATAAATCATTTCGTCTCAAGAAAAAGTATAATCAATCGTACCTTTTTACATAATAGTTCACGGATTGTTATCTTTCCAATTTAATGATAACTACGGGAAAAAAAATTAAACCAACCTGATATTATTCCGTCCATTTGCATTAAAGCTGCTTCCAATAACTTACTGGCTTCCGTTTCTGGCGAAATCGACGGTACGTTATCGCCCCGTTGTTCCGACTTTCCCATTTTCACGCGAATAATAGATTTAATCGTATTAAAACATGTATAAACTTTAAAGGCACTTATATTTTCGTTGATTGCGAGGTTATGTTGTCGTTCGTTTTTGTTGACACTTGTGTCAGTTTTGTTATTCACCGGAAGTTGCCGTTGTTAACGAATGTAATGGAAAGGAAACGCTTCAAAGAGGAACGCATACGCACATGTATATTAATTGGCAATAAATGCTAATGAACGTGATATAAATACTATGAGTAGGAAAATAAACACGAACGAAACGAATGCAAGGTTATTTTTTTTAGGGTTAGTGCTGACATCTTTTTGCAAACACTAAAATTATGATACAATAAAAAAATTAATGTTATTTTTAATTTATTGAAATGATGTTATTAATTTGTGATAATAAAATACATAAAAAAATTAGTTTATTTATTTTTGTTTGGTGTAAAATTAGGGTTTTCTTTAATTTCGAATTTAGATTTCTATGATGTGTAGTAGTTCAAGTTTTTTACACAAAGATGGCGCTAATACGAAATTTTAAATTTACTTTTTTTTTAAATATAAATTTACATTTTGGTAGACTTATATTTATTATATTTTACTTTAATTTAATTATTATTAACGTAACGCGTTTACACAGTCATACGCGGAGGTCTCTGAATCCGCAATTACTAATAGAAACGATCCTCGGGCAAAAGATGGCGTTATTTAAAAGTTATTAAATTTATTATTTGAACTTTATTATTTACTTTTTTGTATTATTATTTCCGTATAACTTAACCCATTTGAATAATAAGCTCAGATATGTGAATAAAGTTAATTCAAGGAGTTGTTATTCATTGGGATTGATAAAATAGAACGAAAATAAAATAATTTAGACTTTTATTACATTAAATTTAAAATTACATGGCCACAAAACATATAATACTACACTATCCGCTATGTATTACTAAACTTCTTTTTTAAACATAGAAGATTTTCGACCGGATGGTAGGTTTACGACGATCAAAAATATACAGAGTGTTCCAGAACCGGACGAAAGCCAAAACTTGGGCTATTAATGAAAACGAAAATTGTTAAGAAAAAAGAGCTGCTTGGGTTGTGCCAAAGTTTTGGAATTTCCGGAGAACAACTCTCGTACATTACACAGAAATTACACGTTATTTTAGTACGTACTTAAAAAGGAAACTATCTCTTTTTTTATATGCTATGCACATCAAACACTCGTTTTTTTGTCATATATCGTTATACACGTGGTACGAACTACGATGTGAGGAAAATAGAATGAAAAGGATGTATTACACCAGACTGTACACACGAAGCTTTCAAGCTCTTTATTCTCTCTAGAAATTATTTTTATTTGCACAATAGGGAAATGCGAAAAATAAATTCAATCATTGTTTTTTCGCGTTTCCTTTGATATTAAATTTTTTATTATTAATTTTTTAATCAAGCATATGGTTAAACAGATTAAACTAATTTGATAATTTTGATTCTATGACGTATATATATATTTTTTTTGATAATTATTTAATATATTAGTTTTTATTAATTTCTTTTTTTTTTCGATTTCGGATGATATGGCAATTATTAATAAAAATAAAAAGGATTAAAAAGGGGTTTATTCAACAAAGAATACATTGTATTTCTATCTTAATAACAATTCTTTATCATTGTTATTATGCTAAATCTGATTTTAGCAGTAGCGTTATGCTTTGTATATCCATGACTTTTTAAATTTAAAATAATAAGATCTTTTTTTAATTTTTTCGAAAACAACGAAAATAATGATTTTTACCATTGCGTATTAGCTTTACATAGATACACGTTACAAAAAACACGCCTTGTTCAAAAAGAAAGACATACAAGTATTCGGCTTAATTCTGTTTTATTTTCTTACTAAATATTCTTTGTTTTTTCGTTTTTTCCATTGTGCTTGTGAAAAATCTATGAGGAGGGATGCAACTGAATCTACCAAGGTTATTAAAAGTGATTTTTTGTTGTTGCATTCTTAAGATCCAATCTATGTATTGTCAAATTTAAATTATAATATTTTTTTTCATCTAATCATTAAAAAAGTTTTAATTACCTTGGTAAATATAAATTTTTAAATTTTATTGTAAGATATACATAGTTTAAATTAGTTTAAGCTTCTTATTTAATTATTCTTTTCGATAAACTATGAAAGAAACGGTGCCTTTCTTTTGGGATATACTTTTGGGGAGTATTTATAGTAGTAGAGCGGTAAATGTACAAACACACAAAAAAATTAGTGATTCAGCTTGAGGTATAAGCAATAATCCAGGTAAAATTATTTATTTATACTTAATTTCGTAGGTTTAAAATTAAGTATTAATGAATAATTTTGAACCGTTATTAACGATATCAACTTTTGTACAGAAAGCTTTCTTCTCATTTTTTTATTATTTTTATTCATTAATTATTTTTTCTGTATACTTCTGAACATGCAGTAGATAATTCTATAGATTTATTTTCATTTTAGTTATGGAGGGCCTATATTATCGTACATCTACCTAATTCGGTTAGCGCAGACGTACTAAAAAAATTGGAAATGAAGGGTAATAAAACGTCGATTACAAATATATATTATTATGTATATATTATGTAAACATGGACTGTTATATGCAATCTTTTTGAATTTTCTTAATTCTCGTCGTTTCTATCTCGTGAAATTCCTTTTTTCTTTTAATTTTATACTCTTATTAGTATTTTGCATATATTTATACCAATTATACTTATTACAATCAATATCAATTTTAATTAATTATTATCAGCGCAGAGTACCTAGATACTAAATAATAATAATACAAAAATACATTAAGTACAACAAAAAGGTCTCAATAATTATGTAATTAATTAATTAATTAACAATAATAATAACTCATGGAATGGTTGTTTTATATCAACTAAGCTTTTTATGATCACAAAAAACAAATTCATTAAATAATAAAGCGCAAAGGGAATAAAATGACTTTATAATTAAAACTGAATCTCTCACCTGCTCTTTTTTATATAATACAATAAGCTCCTACAAATTTATTCTTTAACTTCAAAGTATTTGTAAGTTGGGTTTTCGTAGCCGTTTATTTGCATGTTAGCCACGTGTCTCTCTTCTGGCGTGGCCGCTTGATCTACCTCGATAAATCCTTGACTTTGAGGCGAACGAGATGATCTACGTTTCGCTACGGCTACTCCCACAACTATTGCTGCCATTAATGCCATTCCGGCAAATGCTAAAGTGAAATAAACACTTTTGCTATCTTTACGACCATAAACTTCTCTATGTACTGAATATGTCTAAAAGAAAAAGTTAAATTAATCATTTAATTTTTTTTTAATACAGTTTTTAAAAGTCTATGTAGTTTTGGGTTAACTTAATAACTGAAACTAACACTAGATAATACAATTAAATACATTGGTTTAGCCGTCTTGAGAGACGCACAGCTAAACACGAATGTTTCTAGTTCTAAGTCTAATAATGGTATAGTCTAACACTGGGACCTCTTCTTTTCTTAATTTACGTCAATGATCTAGCTAACAGCATTCACGGTGCTTTAATCAGTAAAAGCAAGAATTCCCAGACTGCTTGTAGTTTAGCTAATTCATCGAAGACTAATGCCGAGCTGTGGTTTGCAATGAATAAATTGAGTCTGAATGAAGATAAAACAGTTTTATCAACGTTTACACTTCGAAGGCAGTTTAACGTTAATCTGAGTAGTGTAAGATTTTTGGGGGTTTATCTTGATGCTTCATTGACTTGGGAGCAACACACGAACGCGGTTTGTGGGAAGCTCAGTGGTAGCGTTTTTTTTCTGCGGGTTTTAATAATAATAATAATAATAATGCCTTTATTAATAGAAACAACAGAAAAAAAAAAGATTACAAATGTGCGCAGGGCGGAGTTAGGACCATAGTGCTCTTTACCACCCAACCCTGCGTTAAAAAAAAAAATCGAAAAATAAAACAAAACATTCGATCTTGACAATAATACTAATACCAACAAAACAGCCATTCAGAGAGAAAGTAATAAAAATAACACTCATAGTAAAAAAAATCGAAAATGATATAAATTACTCATTAGCCCCATTCTGGTCACAGACAATGATCTCGCGGAGCCCTTTTTTGAAGGTGCTCAGTGGCAACGACTTAAGAGAACTTGGCAACGGGTTAGCCATATTAAGCCAACGCACCTCCTTCAAAAAACATGTAACGTGAGATCTCAAACGCAACCCAAAAATCAATCTCAGATAGGCGTTCTGAACTTTCTGAATAATTCGCAAAAATTAAATTGGCTGAGTACCAAGGCGTCACACAGTCTCGCCCTAATGTCCCTAGATAAAAAGTTTTTAATATTATAAATAAGCTTCAGCGCCGCAAATGATTTACGGACCTTTAAAGTAACATGATCCCTAAATCTGACATCACAATCCATTAGGAGGCCAAGATTACGACAACAACCCGCAACGCCCAAGTCACCACTATCCAGCTCAATTCTAAAATGAGAGCAAGCGTTGCGGGCATTGCGTCTACCAAACAACAACATAACCGATTTTAAGGGATTCAATCTTAAGTTGTGACTGGCAGCCATTTTGGTAAACCGAGCAACATCACCCGCAATCCTAAGTTGGGCCACAGGAGCATCATCCTGTCTGAAAGAATAATATATCTGAGAATCATCGGCATAAAAATGAGCTTTAGAATATTTGAGACAATTTTGGAGACCAGAAGTATAAATGCTAAATAAGAGCGGACCCAATACAGAACCTTGTGGTACACCGGCCATTAATCCACGGGCAGCCGAGACGATCATGCCACAGGAAACGACCTGTCTTCGATCAGAAAGAAAATTCAATATTAAGGCAGCAGCATTAGTACAAAACCCAATGTACTTTAGAATAGAATCCAAAACTGTATAATTCACCGTATCAAATGCTTTCGAAAAGTCGAAAAGAATTAAAGCCGTAACCATGTCATCATCAGCCGCCCGCAGTATATCATCAGTTATATGCATCAATGCTGTACCACATCCATGATTTTTACGAAACCCAGACTGTGTCGTCGGCAAAACACTGCAACCCTCAACAAAAAATCTCATCTGAAAGGCCATGATTTTTTCCAAAATCTTAGACAAAACAGGCAAAATACTAATCGGCCTAAGGTCACCACACGAAGTAGGATTGGCTATCTTAGGCAGTGGGATCACTTTAGCAGTTTTCCAAGCGTCTGGAAAAACTGAGTTAGCTAAACAGTAGTTTATAATATGTGTTACAAAAGGTAGAATATGGGGACAGCAAAGATGCAACATTAAGGATGAAACACCATCAAAACCAACCGAGCCTGATTTTAACTTCAAAAGTAGTGAACCGACAATGTATTCATCTACCGTTTCAAATAGGAAATTATTAGTAGGATTTAATTTAGAATTATTATAGAAGTCAACAACATCCTGATCAACAACCCCTCCCAATTCAGAAGATCTAGCGAAATAATCATTTATCTCAT